TTCCTGGAGCAATGGAAGGAAGGCTTATTTCAGTCAAACGTAGAATGAATGGCAATTCCCCCCAAATAATTGCTAACTAGAAAACATCATGATGTTCTTCACATATCAGCACTCAGCAGGGATGGCGGAACTCATTTTGTTTAATTTCACATTGACTTCTGCACTGATGCGTTAATTGAACATTTTAGGTTCATGTTTCCAAAAGCAGAAAAAAGGAACAATGATGGGGCATATGGGGGATAAAAGCAGGGTGAAAAACGGTACACAACAAGGACAGACTGGAAATCAGGGACTCTGAAAAAACAAGATGTTATAGGGAGAAAGCACTCCTAATGACAAAAATAAAAGAAAGGTCAGACACACAGGCCATATGCCCTACCATACCCTCTCATCCATTCTAAACTTGGGTGGGGGAAACAGAATAGTTCATCTGTGTAGCACATGTAACACAAGGTTCTCTTTGGTTAGAAACATATGCTTGTTTGAATTTAATCACACTTGAGGGAAAACATGGATTCTAGTTAGTGTGAGAATGGTTTGTGAAGTCACATTTGTTTTGAAAATCCAAGGAAAACCTAGCACTTTGTGAACTTCACCCTTCCCTACCACCATTACAGTAAGAATTAAAAGTGTTCATGGTCAGTCATTAGGTCATTACAAACTGCACCAGAATCTATCCCACAGCACTTAGCTCCAAAATATCAGCTTTCATTCTAAAGACAAATTTAGTTTCTAGCTTTTATGGCTATACCAGATTTTTTTCCAAGCTTGAGTGGACTCTAACTAACTTGATGCACTGAAGTATGTCTGTGTCTACAGGTGACAGCTGGGAGCTTTAAGACGAATTATATGTTGTCTCTAGTCTGATAGACTTTCCCAGACTATGTGCCAAGTTCCCTGACATTCCCCTCCGGTCACATTCACCTTACACTTACAGCTCCCTTGAACTTCTCCTTGCCTTCCCACCAAGATGCGGTGTTTGCCTGCAGATACTAGAAACAGAAAATTTGCTATGCTAGTAGTAGGTAGGGTGTTTTCTAGATGTGAGAATCTCTGGTTGGTGGGAAGGGAAGAGAGGGCAGCAGGATCTGTAAGCATAATGCAATAGGTAGCTAAGAGTGTAGGCCTCACATGGGGAACCTGGAATGTTTGGCAGGAGATGTACGGACAGGGAAACTGACTGCAGAGGAGCCCCAGGTCTAGACACTGTAGATTATCTGGTATCTTAAAGCATCATAGAATCATAGAACCAATTCCATGGGCAGGAATGAGCACTGAGGGTGGGAGGGGTCATAAGACCCCAGCCAGGTGCCTATCCAGTCTCCTCTTGAAGATTTCCAGGGAAGGTGAGAGCACCATCTGTCTGGGAAGCCTATTCCAGGCTCTGGCCACCCTTACAGTGAAGTAGTTCTTCCTAATATCTAACCTAAACCTATCCTCCCTCAGCTTGTGGCCATTGTTCCTGGTGACTCCAAGGGGGGCCCTGGTGAACAGACTTTCCC